CCAAGTTTATATACAAACTATGAAACTCATATTCATTGGCCTATTTGTTTCCTCTGCCTTGTTGTCATGTTTTCAGGAGTATTATTAAGATCAAATAGAATGGTCAGCAATTGTCTCCCTCCAAGGTCAACCCTAGGAATATAAATACATAAACCTTACTCCCGTGTTTTGCATATTAAAGTGGGAGGACATTTAAAAAATCCTAACAAATATTGAAGAAATGGGAAAAGATCATAATATAATTGTTTTCAAATTTTATGGCAGCTAAAATCTTAATAAAATAAAATCAAGAAGAACACCTAACACCTTTTTTCTGTTGCTGTCTTTTTGGTACTTGTGACAAAAGCCCATAAAGCAAAAAGTGAAATTCAACATTTTGAATTGCTCTTCAAAAAGAAAAAAATCAATACCCCAAAAGAAACCTTGATTCTATAAACCAATCCAAATGAGTGTGCAATAATATCATCAATTGTTAGGGTGATAAGAGTATACAGAGATTTGTTCAAAAGTTAAACATATAAATTACAACTTTCTATATAAGAAAAAAATATATCTGAGTAACTGTAAGGTATTCCCATGATTGAGTACCATGTTATTTCAGAAAGAAGTAAAAATAGCTTACATGTGAATTTTTGGAAGATTTAGAATACTTACTAGCTACTCATTATTCTAATTGAACTAGATTTAGTTCATTTTATGTGTAAGTCTAACTTTAGAAAAGTAGGGTAATTATAAAATCTGGGTCAGATGAAGTAATACTATAAATCTGAGAGCTATAAGCCTACCTTTCCAAAATTGCTTTTCTGTCTTCAAAGAATACAAAATGGGAAGAAAAAAATACATACACTATGCTTCTCCTCAAGATAGTTCTTGTAGGAAAAATGATTCTACCTCTGGAGAGTTTTAAATCAAGCATTCTTCATTCTAAAAGTAAGTAATACCCCACAAAATGAGTTTGAAGATGAAGTGCATAGGCCAGCTTGCCATTTATGAAATGGACATGTACAGAAGTTTACTTTTTTCCTAGAGAAATAGGCAAAAATAGTAATTAGTTTATTAGATTGGTCTACAATACCACATTCTGCTGTATTTTAACTGTATATGTACACATTATTATTAACAAAGTCTATAATCCTGGAACTAGGTTTAAATTAAGTGAAGGAAGAATTTTATTTAACTCTCAGCAAATATATATTTAATATCTGCTCTGTGCCAGACAGTGATCTTGGTGCTGGGCTGAGGTGCAGAAGGTTCCTACCTATATAAAGCATAGATTCTGGTGGAGATTCATTTTTTTGAGGCGGGGGGCAGTTACATGGCTAACCCTAAGTAATATGACCAAGGGAATTACCCCTACTTTTCTTCTCCATCTTCCTGAACCTCCTCATCACCAAGACACTTGATTCACTTACAAGATAATAAGTGTCTCGCTGAAATGCTCACTCATAATTGCACTACCTCACATCCTTCAACTTTGTGGTGGCTGACAGGTTTCATGTCAGAAACACCTGATTCTATTTCGGTGGTTCCATTGCAGGGAAGATGTGTTAGCACTGATCAGCAGAAACATCTGCATCATTGAGTAGAAAAATACTCATTCCTAATCTCTATCTATGTCAAAAGCATTTCCAAATATAATTCACTAGGAAAAGTGAAAAAAATTATAGGTTCGAGTAGCATGAAAGTCACGGTGAGGGGTTATAACACTTGGAAAATCATCCATGAAAAGCATTTTCTCCATTTCTAAAGATTTCCAAAGAAAGGCAATCCTAAATCAACTTTCCCAGACTTAATAGATCTTTCTCTTTTCAAGAAAGTATTCTTAGGCATTAGTGTAATGCCTTTTTGTTACTGCTCAAGTTCATTTTCTCTTCTTTTGTTGTCAATAGATGTTTGTTAAACCATTATACATATTTGTTCAAAGAATAAGGGATATTATGTTCTTTATAATAATCCTTCTTCAAGATAAGAGTAAACTGAAATACCAGACCCAGCATTGGAAAGATGTGACTTATTTAGTTGGCACAAATTAAGTATAAAAACCACTTATATGTCTGGGCTTAATTTCTAAACGTTTTTTTATAATGGATAAATTTAGAACTAAAATCTCTGTCTATTAGAAGATGATGAAGATGATAAAGAGATAATATTTATTATCATCTAGTTTGATGTGGTTAATATTTATTGAAATCTTACAATGTGCTTGGCATTGGAATGAATGCCTTTATGTAGATTTTCTCACTTACATGCATTTTTTAAATCATTATAATCATCCTGTGAGTTATTATTTATTTCCTTTAAGGGAGAAAAACAGGCTTAGAAAGATTACACAGTTCAGTAATGTTGGAGCCAGAATTTGAACTCAGGGAGTCCAATACCAAGCATACATACTTAATCATCCTGAAAAATATAACATCCATTAACAAATTGTATCAGAAAACTCATCAGCCACACTGTCTGTTGTTTCAGTGGGCTGTGGGTTTGGAAGAAATAACTGTTGTATTGACTTGGTTGACATCATAACCCTAATCAGATATAGGCTGTCTTATTTTTGCTGTTATATAAATACATTTTCACACGTGGATAAAAGAATTTAGAACCTGGCATTGTTGGTTGCTATTAAATATTGAGTCCCTTCTTAAAAGAAATCAGATAGTTATCTGCACATAGACAATTCACCCTTAAGTCATGTTTTTACATTTTAGCAATGTGATTATCCACTGTATGCATTTTACAGAGAAATGATATTATTCTCTCTTTGTACTTATGTCAAAATATCTATGAATTTACTAACATGATGTGATAGCAGAAGCATGATATTGTGAGCCCTGCCAGTGAATTCACCCCATGTGTTATTTGGAATCCCAAAAGCCTTAGGACTATGAACAATCAGAATTGCCCAGATGTTTTAGATGAAGTGCCTTGGATAATGAGAGTACAGGACAAACTTTGCTTTGCATTTGTGTAAATTGAAAGTGAAATGAAACACCAGTAGTAATACAGGTTTAATGGATTTAAAGGAAACATCATATTCCAATGTGGTGGTTCCATGTTACCAAACAGTATCAAACAGTTATCGATTCAGGGCAGGGGAAGAAAGAACTTTTGCACCTTAATTATATTTTATGGTTTTTCTGAGAAATTTTAGTTTGTTTTGTATCTCAACTTGTGATTATCTTACAAAGTTGATATGCCCAGTGGATATATATAGACTACAGAAGAGATCCTATATTTAGTATGTAAAAATATCCAATTTCAAATACTTAAGTGATAGGAAAAACTGAATAACCTTAATATTTATATTTAATTTAAAAAGTGTGATAGCTAACTAATGGAAGAAATAGATTTTATAAGTTCAAGTCTTCACATGCTAATTTAGACTTATATGCAAATTTATTTAAAATATTTGAGCTACATACAGGCAGTTTGTATGTGCGTGCACATGCATATGAACACCTACACACACTTAATTTGAATTGAGTTAAATTGGCATAGTTACTGTTCAATGTTGTTGACACTTTAGTTTTATTTGCTTGAAGAAAGCTGTCCTTATATAACAAAAGTAACTAAAAACTTTGTACCTTTTCATGATCTACTTACAAGATACATGAACTGATGACAAGTTCCAGATATTAAAATATGGAGCCTAGTTTCTCACTGCTATTCTCTGCCCACAGGTTGTATATAAAAATAATGATGTAAGGCTGGAATTATCTCGACTTGCCAAGCAAGGAGATCCTAAGATGAAGATCCATGGAGTGGTGGCATTTAAATGTGAGAATGTTGCGACTTTAGACCCAATTACCTTCGAAACACCAGAGTCTTTCATCTCTTTACCTAAATGGAATGCAAAGAAAACAGGCTCCATATCATTTGATTTCCGCACAACAGAGCCAAATGGACTCATCTTATTTAGCCATGGCAAGCCAAGACATCAAAAAGATGCCAAACACCCACAGATGATAAAGGTAGACTTCTTTGCTATTGAGATGCTGGATGGCCACCTCTACCTCCTCCTGGACATGGGGTCGGGTACTATAAAAATAAAAGCCCTGCAGAAGAAAGTGAATGATGGAGAATGGTATCATGTGGACTTCCAGAGAGACGGACGGTCAGGTAATCTATCATTTATCTGTGCTGTTATATCTGCTGGAACGTCCCACCTAACCCCTGCCACACCTAAGAATTAAAAACAAGACACATTAAAGATTTTCTGCCTTTATTTTTCCAAAGTAAAGGAAATTGTTATTGTTTCTGCTTCACATCATATAAAAATCAGAAAAAGCTAATGAATCATCATAGTTGGGCATCAAACCCCAATTGCTCAGATGGCTTCTAGAATAACTTCATAAATGAATATTTATTGGGTAATAAAATGCCATATCTTGCAAAAAAATTTTATCTTGAATTTGCAAATGACAAAATTCAGGATTTTTGTATCACTAGTTACCTCTTATGTCATTGGATGTATAGAGGTGCCTGAAGTGGCAAATATAAAATATGAAAAAAATTAGAATGATCCACACATAAGTCCTTATATTGGTACGGCATACTTTTATCCAGGGTGTGTCTATGGTATTGAAAACACTTTAATCGATACAGTGGCATTTCAAGGACAGTGGCAAAGCTCTGCCGCCCTTCTAAGCAGCCTCCCTTTCTGAGGAAAGATACTTGTAATTCCACCAGCGGGCATTCATTCCTCTGGCTTCCTGCTGCTGCACTTTATTCCTCTAAGAGAGAAGGGGAAGGTGACAGAGAGGGCTTCCCGAAAGAAATAACATTTACACTGAAATTTGGGAATGACTTAGGGGGATTAGAGGTTGACTAGTGTGAGCTTTTGTGGGAAAGAATCATCCATGCAGAGGAAATGACATTCGTGGGAATACCAAGAGAGAGAGAGAGGGAAGAAAAGAGAGGGAGACAGACATGGGGTGGGCAAGGTTGGGAGAGAGGAAGAGAAATCTTTTTAAAATTTTCGAATGTTACAGGGGTACAAACATTTTGGTTACATGAATTGTTTTTGTACCATTTGAGTCAAAGTTGCAAGTGTGCCCATCCCCCAGATAGTGTGCAGTGTACCTGTTAGGTGTGAATTTACCTATCCCACCTGCTTGATTTTCAATGAAGAGAGAAATTTTTTTTTAGGCATACAGCTATATGTCTTTTGCTCTTTTCACCCAGGGGTCCCATGTGCTGATTGCCCTTCTCGTGTATAAATCAAATAATCTTCTTATAATAGAAGGCAACTAAACTTAGACCTGTTTACTCCCCTTCTTTCCTCCGCCTCGCCGCCCCCCAGCAGCTCTCTCATTTGCTTAAATACAGTACCCCCTACTCGGGATTTGACACTAAATAACAGTTTAAGCTGAGCCAAGGCATTTTTTTTATGGGCCTAAGTTTCTTCATTTGTAAAACAACGATTGGGAAAGATCTATCCCAAGCCCAGTGAAGGAGGAACAACAGTGATGGGACTGAGGATTCTATATTTTCACAAAACCTTCTCCATGACTCTGATGATCAGCTAAATTTGGGGACTGCAGACCAGATGACGCCCAGTGTCTTGTAGGCCCAGCAGTCTGTGATGACCATCCTATTTGGAAAAGGCCGTGTGGGAGTCCTGGGCGGAGCTCTCCTTCCCAATCCCTCCTTGCACAGGCTGCCTGTCACTTGTTTGCTTCTGGTTTCTCCTCTGTGGAACTGTTTTCTGTTTCCCTATTATACGTGCTTTTTAATTTTCTATTTATAGATCAAGAAGATCTGGGTTTGCCTTTTTAGAATTTTTTTTTTTTTTTTTTACCCAAAAAATAAGGAAATGGAACACAGGAAAATTAGGAAAGATTGGAGAATAGAAGGGAGGTCAAAAGCCATTGCTCTGATCCCCGGATATCTTGGAGATTCTGTTTCTGATTAATCCCTCTCTGGAAACATGGTCTCCTTAAATCTTCTCAGTTCCCTAAATAAGTCTGCAAGGAATTAGATTCCTCTTTGTTTTTCTGAGGAGAGTTCATTAATGGGAATATAGAAATATAATAATAGAATGCCTCCCTCCGACTCCCTCCAGCCTATCTCTGCCAGAGTTAGCAGTTAATTTGCTACTTATGAACTTTCAAACAGAAGAATTTTAAAGAGACTAGGGGCATGGCCTAATCTGGTTCTTTGAAATATTAGCGTGTGGATGATATAGCTTGACTTAAGATATAGCTAGAATAAAATTTTGAAAATAGCTTCCAAGAAGAGATATTTTAAGTCATATTTTGTAACAGTGTAAAACAAAATAGAGCAGATTAAGTGGGTATCTTTTGGAAGTTCAGAGAAGCAAAAAATGCCAAATTTCAAATCAACTGCATTTCATTCATCATCAGGTATTTTCTTACTATATGAAAATAATACATGGTTAATGTCAAATATTAGTAAATACAAAAGAATATAAAAAAGAAAAAGAAACAATTCATTATTTATTTGATAGCAATGATTTATATTTTTGGATATTTCTTTCCAGTCTTTTTTCTATATGAATTGTATGTGTGTGTATCTTAATCTGTATCTCTTTCTATGTGTTCATGTGTATATGTATGAATATATACACAAACACATCACACATGCACATGTACACATACAGAGAAAAAATTATTTTGAGTTTTTTAATGGACTTTCATAGTATAAGAAGAAAGTATTGATGCAATCTAATTAATTCTCAGGTAAATATCTTAATTCTCAAGCCAAATAAAATCTACTTTTTCTGTTTAAGCTCTTTAGTTCATCCAAATTACCAGTAGTTTATTAACTACCATATTTTTACTTTCATTGGATAAGGTGAACACTAGATAATATCTACTTTAATTTACAAATCTCAATTCTGTATGGGAAGAAGAGAAACATGTTCTAAGAAAGTGTTATTTTCATCTAAAAGAAATGAACAAAGCATGAGATTCTCGTTGGAATCTAATGGAAAGATGAAGTTACCATGCTTGGTGGTGTTTTGATGGTAAAGTACTTTTATGTGATTAAAATTTTAGGTTAGTGAATTGAAACAAACAATAAAATAAAACCAAAGCTCATTCACGAAGCCAAGTTCTGCCCTTTACCAAGTTGAAAAAAAAGAGAGCTCATATTATGCTGGCCTAGCTCAAGGGAGTTTAATGTAATTTTAATAGCTGCAGCTATTAATATTTTATATATAATACTTTAATTAAGTTCTATATTTGCACTCTGCATTGGTTTTCTATAGAACAGCCTTTTAAAAATTGAATGAATGACTATACTAGCTTTTATTTTACTTAAAGAATATTTCTGATTTGGGCTGGTGAAATACTAGGATTTGTAGCTCAGTTAAAAGTAAGAAACATGGAATTTCAAGAAAAATTGATTTTACCCATTTTTCATATTAGTTATATTCAGAGGCTATATTAAAATTATTTTTCATATAATATGGAGAAACGGTACTGCTATGACAAGAGGGTAAAGTGGACTGCTTTCTGACTTATGGACGACAAAGGTCATATCTATTGATTTGCCCAGGATACTCCTTAGCTGAATACGTTAAAAAACCATATTGTCTCTGTTATTAAAGGAGAGGGGACTCAGGCCTAAAAGTTACTCATTCTGCTGCTGAACATATTGGTTGACATACTACAGTAAGTAGAAATATAATGAAACCAATATGACCATTAATTTATTGCCAATATAATTATTGGTTATCTTGGCTAGAGAGATGATTGAAACTGTATTTGGTAGACACAACTGCTTTAATTTTAATATTACCCACACAGTTTATAAGGTTTATAATTCCCATCTCTGAGAGGGAATATCGTATTTATTTTTATATCCACAGTTCCAGGTACCTTCTTGACCATAGCAGTTGCTCAGTACATATTTGATATAAGAAAAAATAAAGAATAAAAACATGTGAATGTCACAGTACAAACAACCCTTAATAGTCTGAAATGTAGGGGCGGAGAATAATAACACTTGTTTAGTTGTAAATGCAACTTTTTTAAATTTAAGAATTCGTTTAATTACATGACTTTCTGAAAGCAGTTTATACAATATAGGATAACAGATGCTGTTCTGGAACAAATACAATGCCATACTCCAAGCCCAGATGTTTGAAATATTCACTGAGAAAGTTAAATAATTGTTAGAGAACTGTATAAGCCTGATACAAAAATGACAAGATTTTATGAAAACAGAACTTCTATTTCTGCTTGTTCATGAGATCCCTGTAGCATTGGACAAACATGTAGGTAGAAGGAAAATTAATCAAGAAGGAAGGTGTTTACTCCTTTCTAAGGACTGGGATACACAACCACAGTAAGCATGCTAGTGACAAGGAAGATAATCACCCAGGTTGTTCATCTTTCTGGGGGCCTGCCCTTTGGTCCTTTGTTCACTAAAGGAATATATGAGCCCATTATTCGATGAGAAATATTGCCTTTATATGCATAATTTTCATAAATACTTCATTTTTGGTAAAATTAATTGCATTGAGTTATTTCTAAAGTATATCCCTTCTATTCTGAGATATGGGAAAGAAAGAGGCACTCTAATTTGCACACTTTGACTAATACTATTTGGCCATAGCTGTTCTCTATATGCAATGCAACTTTCTTCCATTGTCTGCTCAGTCTATGATCAGTGACATGGGAGGCCAAGTGGGCTGAGCCATGAATGGCAATTTCAGATCCTGCACTAAACTGGCAAAGGAGGAACCATACAAAGTGCAGGCATGATTCAGTGAATCGGAGAGGATGACTTAAGTGCGGCAAAAAGTAGATATCCTCGGTGAATAGCTTAGCTACTAACAGAACAAAACCTCTAATGTGCTGAGTTAATAAATATGATTGAAGAAGGCCATTACTTTGCAAAATTTGCAGGTCTTACAGCTGGACATTTCCTTACTAGCCCTCCTCCCTCCCCAGCCTTGCTCCTTTCCTCTTTTTTTGGTCCGAACCCCAATACAGAATAGATTCCAAGGTATTTAGTTAAAGTGCGAATTGTGCTATAATTAGGATGAGGTTAATGACTGTTTTCTTGGGGCATGGATATTGTTTAAATTTGTGTTAAGCTCTTTGGCTCAGTCAAGGGTATCCTCTCAAGTATTTTTATAGCAAACTGTC